CTGGGGGGGGCCCAAACACCAGGTCCACTGGCGTGCGGATCTCCCTGCCGAACATCAGGGCTGCTGGGGTGCAGAGGCTCGATTCTTGTACAGCCGTCCTGTATGCCCACAGAACCAATGGCAAGTGCAAGTCCCAGTCCCTCTGATGTTGGCTGGTCAGTGTGGCAAGTTGGGTGGCCAGGGTGTGATTGAAACGCTCCACAAGGCCATCACTCTGTGGGTGAAGGGGGGTATTCCGGGTTTTCTTCACCCCCAACCGCTGACACACCTCTCCAAACAGGCGGCTTTCAAAGATGCGACCCTGGTCGCTGTGCAGCTCGTCCGGGACCCCGAATTGGGTGAACATCTCGTCTACCAGACATTGAGCGGAGGTGGCAGCGCTCTGGTCTGGCACGGCGTATGCCTCCGGCCACTTGGTGAAGTAGTCCATCACCACCAAGACGTACCAGTTGCCAGCTGCAGTGGTGGGAAATGGCCCCAGGATGTCCACTCCGACTCGCTCCATTGGGGCCCCCACTAGGTACTGTTGCAGCGGGGCTTGAGAGCGCTGGCTAGGCCCCTTCTGCGCTGTGCAGACGTCGCAACAGTGTACATGGAGCTCGGCCTCCTGCCGGCACCCAGGCCAATAGCAACGCTGCCGCAGTCGTCTCACGGGGGGTTGTGACTAAATTTGTCAAACTTGAGTCTAGGGATGAAGATCTTTAAGATCCCCCTGCAGTACTTTATCCAACTCAGCATTACTCTATGTGAAAACAAGCTACTGAGATATGTGTAAAAGCATTCATCATTTGCATTACAACACCAATGTAGGCGGCTGTATTTGTCACTGTGTGTTGAATGATCAGTTTGTACTTTAGTTGTCTGACACAGTGGATTTAATAAGCCACCTGTGTACCATGTTTAATAGGTGGGTTAAAGAAGAGACAGAAGCTTTACAGAGCAGGGCAGGACTCTCCCCATGGGAGCCCAAATCTGCCCCAGGCCACTTATTAACATGCCTTCCACTACAACGCACATGTTCCTCCCTCACTGTGTGTGCCTGTCTTTCACTTTCTAATTTACACTCTTTGCATTTTGCCTATAGACCTTACACAGTGACCCTCATCTCCTGTCTATTTTTTGGTAATAACATGGTCGTCTGGAGAGGGCATCTGCATAGGTGTGTTGTCGGCCTGGGCGATGCCGAACCTCAAAGTCATACTCCTGAAGTATCTCCAGCCATCGGGCCACCTGCCCCTCTGGCTGGCGGGAACTCAGCATCCAGGTGAGGCTGGCATGGTCAGTCCTCAACACAAACCTAGTACCCAGTAGGTAGGGCCTAAAGTGCCGTACAGCCAGGATGACAGCCAACAGCTCCCGTCTGGTGACACAGTAGTTTCGCTCTGGTCGGCTGAGGCTGCAGCTATAGTAGGCCACCACCCGTTCTCCTGCCTCTCCCTCCTGGGAGAGTATAGCCCCGCCGCCGGCCCC